TTTGCACCATCATAAATAAGGAAGTTGTAAAAACATCATAGAATTAAGGTTGCTAGTTAAGTTCATGTACAACCTGACTGTAGTTTTACTTGCTTTCTGTTTATCTTGCAAGAGTCATTTTGTTTGCACAGACAACTGCTTCCACTGAACAGACAAAAAAAAAGACACTTTTAAAACATATCTCCACTTTCTAGAGGGACTGCTGCCCAAATGCATCATCTTGTCCTGGTTTGGACAAATAACATCTCTTTAATTCCAAGCTCCCCCTGTGCTAGGGAAAAAAAACCAAACAAACCCAAACTACTGATTTTCAAGCCCCACATTTTATGGCTATTTCAGTGAAGTCTACGTGTCCGCATGTAAAGAAAATAATTCTGGGATGTAAAGAAACTAGTTCTGGATTCACAGATTGAAAAGACACAGCAAGTGGGAGGCAAAGTGCAAAACAAAGAACTACTAAAGCAAAATAAATGTTCATTCAAAATATAGATGTAGATAAATGCACACAAAAAAACCTCAGCTAGCACTTAAAAGAGATTTAGAGTACTGTTTAGCACAAAAGTATTAAATACCATTCGCTAATGTTAGACCCCAAAGGCAGACTACTCAAAACGTTCCCCAGTTTCACATCAAATCATTGACAATAGCTTTGTGAACTGCTGCAGTTTTTCCAAACCTTGTTTGTTCTAGGTATTATTTTTCTTGTTCGCCTAAGAAAATAGGAAAAACTTAAAAAGCACAGGTGAGGTCAAAATAATTCCAACTGTTACCTCTTCTTTGATCCACCATCAGGACCATTTTCCTATCCTACAGAAGTAACGATTATTTTGAAATTAACTACCAATTAAGCTCTCTGTAACTTCCAACTGTTTTATGAATGCACATAATCTCACGCTTCTAAGTAGGAAAGTAGGAAAATACCATTGCACTCTCTCTGCACCTCTCTCAGCTATTACTTTTCCACCGAAAATTCAGCCACCATTGCTTCTCTCACCATGTCCTTGCAGTGGCTTCATCTTTAGCAAGACTGGGGGACAATTCTCCAAGTCCTCCTTTTTAAATGAAGACACTATTTTAGCACATTTCCAGTTCTTTAGAAAGCCCTGAAGTCCTTCACGAGCTCATGATGACAGTTGCTAATGTTTTTCCTACAGTTCCTTGTTGACTTATTGACAAAAATCGCTGACATTGTTCCTGTAGTTTTCCATCTACTTAACAATGAGCATCAAGCTCCTACAGTCCTAAAGAATAGCTAGATAAGGTAAATATTATCAACTTCTTTTTAGCGAGGACTACAAGTATGAAAAAAATGAACTGTTACAATCTCAAAACAACTCTCCTAGTGAAGAATGAGGAAATCCATGAAAACAATTCTTCATCACCTTTGCATCATCTATTACCAACTCGTTTTCTCACTAAAATGAGAGGCACAGATTTTCCTTTGTCCTTGTATTTTCCATGTATTTAGGTTAAGTTTTGGGTTTTGCTTTATGCTATAAGAACGTGAAAATTCCCATTCCTATAGAGCCAAGTATGGAGGAGTGAAGGACATAACTGAACACAGATGATGAAAACACATGATGTCCATCAGGTTCACAAAATGAAGCCATTCACAGCCGAGAATGGCTCCAGTCAGCTCAGGCAAGAGAAAAATTGTGCTAAACTGCAGATTAATGGGGGAGATGGGAAAAGTGGTATCAACACTTGGGCTCATTGGACAAAGAAGAGCAATCAGAGACCAAACAGGGAACTATCCACATTACTCCAGACCTTTTTGTACACAAATGTCAGCCCAGAAAGCTGAGACTCCCCTGATTTGCTGGCAGTGCTGACTTGTTGCAGTAAAGACATCAAAACAAGATAAAGAAAAAACAAGCTGAGCTTGGAGGGACAGTAAAAACAACCAAGAGGCAGAAACGCAACAGTTTGACAGGAGGACTGTTTTCTAAGACACATTGTACCACTGGGATTAATTTTATAATTTTAAAGAATAATTAAATTTAAAAACCAAATCCTTATTCTTCCCCCTCTCCCATGTAGCATTAGCAGAAGAATCAGGTGACTGCAGCCACTGCAGTGTCAGATTTTTGACACTACAGAAACAACTGAAGGGAAAGGGATATTGAATAAACTTCAGTTTATTAACTGCTTTATTAAACAGTTAAAGTACAACTGTTGAGATCTTGCATTTGCCTCCCTGACCAGCAGAGATTTGATAGCAGGTTCTGTGCACAGGCAGTAAAAGAAAGCTGAATAAGTAGACACATTAAATTTACAGCCCCCTCCCAATACCAATTTCCAAAGACTTTTTTAACAGCTTATTTACCACTTTCAAGCTATTCCAAAAGAGTATTTCCTAACTCTCATTAGGCTGAATTTATTTTTTTTTCTATCTTGTAAGAGAACTTCTAGAGGAAATAGATCTTTGAGAGAAAAACTGATGAAATAGGTTAAGTCATAATAATATTATACAAAAATGTAGACAAGCTAAGTAGTTGTTAGATAGAATGGGGACAGTAAATGCTTCTTCCATTTACATTTCGCTTCCATATTTGTGTTAAAAACCTACAACGAAAAAAATAAAGTGCTTTCCTTACATAGATAACAACCTTTACCCACGCAATCATATCAGAGCTATATGATCACACGTCAGAATTAAGTTTCTTTAATTCCATCGTACAGATCCTCAAGACAACCCTCCTTCGCCAGCCGGCAGGACAGCGATTGTCTTATGTTGCACCTTCAACTCCAAACTTGAGTGTTTTCGTTGATGATTGTTGCATGCTTGACCTGCACCCTGTTATTAGTGGCAAGCAGCTTGGAGTTATTTTCTAATGCTACAGAATGCACCTATAGCAGTACACCTGTGAAAAGAAAATCAAGAGCTAAATAGAACCGTAAAAAAGTAACTCACCGCTCACAAAGAGCCAGAAAATTCAGAGTTGTTCCTCCACATACTGCCCAAAAGGGCTCACTTTCAGCAAGAACATCAGAGAAAGCTACTTTTGATGGACTACAAATACTAGAAGCAGAAAAGACTGTTTACCAGCAGAAAGTTTTAAGAGCAGCACGTTGCAAGTATTGCATAGTTATTTTGGGAATGTTGATGGTCTGTGTGAATTGCTCCCTCTAGTGTAGAAAATACAAAATCACAAACAAACATTCAAAAGTTCACTGCCATCAGTAATAAAGACAAACTGTTTTGTTTTTCTAAAGTCACTCTCTATCCACATTTTTTCACTAAATATTTATATCATGATTTCTCACATTTTAATACAACAGAAGACAAACTTTAACTTACTCAGCTTCTGACCTGGGTCTCTTACCCTTTTATTAGCATGAAACGATCGGACCAGAATGGAGCAGTGAGTATGCAAATCTACACCCTGTATTTATTGCTGTAAAACTCCCAAGAAATCAGGAAGATACACTGTAGTGTTCATTTTTTTTTTTTCACTCAGCTAGAATACTAAATTTCATTCTGTGATTATGTTTCGGTTATTAAGGGCATCACAGAATTTGGTCTAAAACGTAAAGAAGCACATTCCGACATGAACACATTTATCTGACCACAGTACCTGGTTATGCCCCAGATTTTGGAAATAAAGCTGTTTTGGAGCTTAGACTCCCTTTCTTCAATAGGTATGAAATCCTTTAAAAACACACAAGTCACACTGACAAGTCTAAGAACTTATTTTAGACCTTAACCCAACCTGAAGAGGCACTGGACGATACTCAACTCCAGCGTAAGAGTACGGCAACAGCCACGGCCACTGCTGCAACCTCCCCTCACAGTGTTTGGGAGGAATTCCTGGGACAGTTTCCATCACACAAACAAGTGAAACCAAGTGAAAACCAATGTAGCTTTTTTGTGCCAGTTCCATCAGAATGACACACAGCGTGGTTAAAAGGCTTCTTTTAATCAGTGAAGTTTTCCAGCTCCGCATTCTCTTACGCACATACCGACACCTGTAAGATCAAAGCGGCAACTTTACCTTCTCCAAGAACCGATGGAGCCGTCTCTGAAGATAAAAGCCAGAAAATGAAAGTCTGAGCAAGGTTCAAAACTAGATCTTTCACCAAAGATGTGACTAAACAATTTGCCACAGAGTAATGAAATTAATGGTATGTTTTTGTTTTCAAAAAGGAGCTTTTTGTCCCTCCTTCGGTGTTGCTACCATCAGAAGCAGTTGAGAACTTGGGAAGCCTTCTGATGAATCATTTTGCAACTGCCTACTTCCTTCTTTTTTCTTAACTGGGACTTCACACTTTACAGGTACCAAAATTCTTACCATACAAATACCAAAACATAATCTTCCAGTTCCTCCTGTAACCACAATTTCAGCTTTCCAACATCTGACAGATCCAACAAAACCCTTTTCTCTGCTTGCCAGAAGGCTGTGAATAATTACCCAGTTTCACACACACTCAGTTTGAGCATGTTTGGTGGAACAAGCCTTAAATAAAATCTGATGCAGGCTAGTTTCTGAAGACTCTCAACAGGCAGTCCTAACAGATAAGCAGTTCCACTGTCTCGGTGCTGCCGCTCAGGTTAAGCTGCGTTCCCTTCAAAGACCCCAAAGTCATTACACATAGTTTTTACTTAAGGGAAACAGACAAATTTTCATTTTGTTTTTCTACCCGACGTAGCTGTTTCTGTCACAGCAGCGCCACCTCGGCGAGGTCCTTACAGGCTACCTGCCATCACGCATCCCCCTGAAGCCGTGTTCACTGTCGAGACTGAGAAAACTCTTTGCTTGATCATCTGTGACATTTATGCAACTCGTCTAACTATTTGTGTCCATCACAGGCCGCTGGCCTCAGGCAGTGGGGCGAGCTAGGACGCCTAATCCACGCAGAGGGCTCAGGAAGGACGACACTGGATGCCACAGCAAGAAAACCATCAGGTTCTCGAACTAGCGCCTCTGGAACGGGTCAGCCGTGGTGTAAGAAAACAGGCGCTACAGCAAAATCTCAGGGGCTGAATTCAGGACAAAATTAACAGTTGAGAAAGAAATTTTATTTCAAGCTTCTAAGGGGGTATTACAAACAATAGAGAATAAAAACATTAAAAACTATTTAAAAAGTAATTGTCCCTTTAAAATAAAGATTCAAGCAGGTTTAACAATGAAGTATGCTATTCAATGAAGTTTTAAAAAAAGATTTAAAAAGTATTGGTTTTGCTGTATTTGCTAATCCTTTATAAAAAAGCTGGGCATAAATACTTCGTGCATTCATATGCATTATTTGGTGTTTCATAGTATATAACTTGGTACAGTATTTAAGATATCACTGCAAAAGAGTTCAAACACAGTGCATTTATAAATAATGGAGTCATTATAAATCACATTGCAAACATACCTTGCCATTTTCATTGTTACAAATTCAGAATCTCAGTGAAGGTAGGAATAAAGTAGCTACAACAATCAATATCTTGACTTTATTTTTTTTCTTTTTAATATAAAAATGCAGTTCTGGAAACCCACCCTCCATCTTCCCCCTGCCCAAACATAATGCTTTACTTCTTAAAAATAAAAATAAAGTACTAATTCTATATACATCACATGTACCATACAAAAATGTATCCAAAGTTTCTATTGCTACCAAAGTGTTCTAAATTAAAAGTTACATAAATCCCCTCCTCGGAAACAAAAGATTACAAGTTACAAAAAAAATCAAATTACACACAAACCCATCAAGTTATTTTATACAATTTCCAATACATTTTTCTCCCAAAGCAAGTTGTCTTCTCATGTGCCTGTATAAAAATGCATATCAATATATTTGTCAATTTTATTTTTCATTATAAAGCAAATTAATACATTTTCTACAATAAATAAAACACAGGGAGGCACACATATCAACAAAATTAAATCAACGGGAGATAAATGGGATATGGTTTTGAAAGAAATAATGTGCTTGCAGGCTTTAAGCCAGGTTTGTTTAAAACAAAAACAATCTTAAGTTATTTTGGGCAACAATGGAGTGTTTTTGGTGATTTGCAAGTGATGTACACAGTATAATTTTTTCTTGATGTCTTTCTCACAAAGTACCCTCCAAAATAATGCAACTTCCTTTCTTAAAATACGTATTTGTAATTGTAAATTTACATCAATCTTAAATACGTGGTACTTTGTGCAAAGAGCAAGGATTTACACAAACATTCAGAAGTCTTTTTCAGAAGCTACAGACCAAGGAAGAAATGATACAAGCAGCACCATATTGTATATGATTTAGGCAAACATACATTTGATGCCATTTTGATATTAGGCTTCAAGATCCACTAAACACCTTAAGCTGGAAGATGGTGCTCAGGTAACAACCTCAGAAAGAAAGAAAAAACAAGTAAAAAGCATGGAAACAAAAACCAATTCCCTCCCCAGCAAAATTATAAAAGGAATTAAAGAGCTACTTCTAAAATCAGAATAAGTTAAGTGTTGAATATACATTTATGTACAATTATGAACACTATGAACAAGACATTTTTAACAGGTTTAGTGGAAAATCCTCCAAACTACAACACGATAAACTCAATAATCAATATGGCAATGGTGATTTAGAATTGCTCAACTATTTCAAGTTTGCAGAACTCAGCCACTGAATCAACAATTAAGGGGTTGTATCTTCAATACATTCTTTTAGACAAAGAGGTTCATTAGTAGAGTTCAAGTCTGTGTCCTGTGGTGGTTTTCATGCCTTGGCAGAATCTCTGTTAGTCAATATCACTGAAGTCACTGACTGGTTCTCCATGGACTCGACTCAGGTGATTCATAGCCCGATCAAAAGCAATTCTCACTGCTTTTCGTATGCTTGAGTTACGTCCTTCCATCATTTTTAACTTGTCTATGGTCTCATCTATCCCAAGCGGAACCATTTTGGATTTGGGAAGCCACTGCCTGTAAGAAAGGGCAAAGTAAGTATGTTAAATATAGAATAAAATGAGAAAGTTTGTCCAGAGATGTCAAGGTTGCCATACTGTGTTTCTCATAGAGCAGATCAGCTTCACCATCTTAAACAAATAGTTCCTTTTAAAAATAATACTTACTTGCTTTAAATACTTAAGAATGTGAAATATTAAGCCTCTTCCACAAATTAATATATTCCAATTCAATTTTGATGCCTGATATTAAGTATTAACTAGAAATACTGATATTATTATCGAGGAAATACTGATACAGTTTAAGAAGAGGCAGCAGCAACCAACAAGGAATGTGGCACGAGATTCTCAACACAAACACAGTGTTGTTCCTCTTCATTCTTTCATTTCCAGGATTACAAGGGAAGTGCATATGATTAATTTTTGCCTTAGATTTAAGGCATTTCAATTTGGTCTTTACAGGGAAAACTGAACTATCATGGAAGTTCTGCTTTCACCCTGGTGGTATGACATCCCACTCGGTATTCAGAGGACTTTTCTATTTTGAGCTCCATGAATAAAGAATCACACACAGAACCACAGGATTGTCAGAGCTGGAAGTGATCTCTGAAGATCTAGTTCACTCTCCCTGCCACAGCAGGCTCACTCACAGTAGATCACACAGGAACGCATCCAGGTGGGGCTTGAAAGTCTCCAGAGATGAAGATTCTACAACCTCTCTGGGCAGCCTGTTCCCTGCTGTGTTACCCTCGCAGTAACACCATTAATTACTGGGCAGAGATAATGAAAAAACTCTTAAATCCTATTCTTCTAGTTAAAGGAAAATCACCCTAAACAATTAAAAAGTATAAAGTAAATCTACTTCATTTCCATAAACGTTAATCTTACTCTTGTTTTTTTAAACTTACAGGTATTGGGGAAAGATTGGGTAGACCAATGAGTATCTGTTGGAAGTATGTTATTGCAGGCTGCAATCTCAGCTCTGCTAACGGCAGAAGCCACGCTTCTGTTTAAAAACTTCAGTTTGGGAGTCCATTTGGAGACAAATGAAATAGAAATCAGACAGTGAAGTCTGCTATTAAACATCAAAGTAATTTTTTTGTAACCGAATAACTCTCTTGAAATACTTTTTATGAAAGCACTCTGAAATACAACCCTATTGTACTGAGCACTCACACCAAACCCCAAAAAATGTAATGAGCCAGTAAAAGGATACACACAGAACAGTAAAGAACAGTAACATCAGCATGACAAGCAGCAGTCTAAGCATTATCAGTTTTAAAAGATGAGAGGAAAAATTTTAACATGGTAATTCTGAAAGAAAGTTTGCCAAGTCATCCAGACGCAAGTGGCGCAAGAGAAGAAACAAATCAAAGTATGTGAAAAGGTGATCCACAGGTGACGGAGGCTGATATCACAGGTTGGCAAGTGACAAAAATGAGTTAGAGTGAAGAGTGCCAAACCAGCCAAAACCCAATCAGGATAAAAGAATCATTACCAAAAAAATGCTGGAATGGTGGGGTTGGAGAGGAAAGGGGTTGGAAAAATATTTAGCCTTTCGTGTCTTTCTATGCAGAGTATCCCGTTTTGCATAATATTGGCAAGACTTGGGTCCACCTGCACTTAGCTATGAATCAGAACGGTTTAAAGTGCAGAGGACTCCCAAAATCAAGAAGCAATCACAGCAATTATTACTAAAATGGCTATGGAGAGCATGCGTTACACTTGTGATACCAATAAGAGAAAAATTAAAAACAGAATACTGAGTATGTTTAAATTTGAATGTCCTCCAAGAAAAAAGGCAGAAGAAGGCAGGATCTCAGAGAATTCTGTGCAACTGAACAATGATGACCACGAAGAAATATCAGTTCATTAAGAAAAGCAAACGTGAGTTCAAAACTTCAGGCAAGAAGTTACCTAGTTGAGCATACTGGGACAGACACTCAGGAGAATGGCAGTATTTCTAGCCATCACAGATAATCAGCTGAAGGGAAAAATGGTATCTGAAAGTAAAAGTAAACTCAAGAGTAGAACTGAGATATAAAAAGATTTAAAACTAGCTTGACCTGTGCAGAAGCCCAGAGAGGAGAGGGATTAAAAACCCAAGAAAGACATGAATAATTTGATGAATAGAAGAAAGAGAAGTAGATTACAAGCTTCTGTATCTGGCAAAAAAAAAAAAAAGCAACAAGATAACAACCAAAAATACCGAAGGAGGCAAAAAAAAAAAAAAGAAAAAAAAGAGGTGGTCAAGAGATTGTTTTATTGCATGAATTATCTCTTCTGGCTTCACACAGCACATTGCTGATACTGAAAGAAATGGAAATAAGGAAAGTTTAATGCAAAAATTTAGAAAGGGCTAAGAACTTCCAATGAGATTGCTGATGAAGGCTGAAGGACTACTACCTTTAAAAAAATGTGTTTAGTCAAAGAAGAAATTTTATCAGGTCAATAAATGAAAGCAGCTTGTAAATTGAACCAAAACACTATGTAACAACTTATGTAATTTTCTTCCAAATTGACCATTAAAGGTATCTTCCAGTGATCATATGCCTTGGTCCAAGAATAGACTCAAATATGAAATTTTAATATTACAGTTGATACTTCCATAGTAAAAACATCTAAGGAAAGATTATGTTTCAATTTTCTTTAAGGCTACAGGCACAGCCTTTTAACATTTGAAGTCGCTGCATCAAACAATACATTTCAGTAACATACCAACTCCTTTTATTGTCAAAAAATAGTACTAAGAATAGTTTCTCGTCTGATTTGGTCTGCATTTGTTCTCCAATTTTCAGTACATCCAGAGGTGGCACTGGTATAGTAACACCGTTGTGATGGCCAGCAACACGAGGCATCTTAGGGTCAATAATCTGTAAAAGAGAAGAAAGGACAGTTCCTAATTTTTGAAACTACATTGTATATTTTAAGGAGGTATTACAAATAAAGTTAATGGGAAAATAATCGCCAACTTAACAGCCACTACATATAAACTGGCTTTGTGTTACACACTTATGTAACTTCTAGACCGAAGCTGAACAGGTGTAGTGGAGGCCCAGTGGTACACTTAACTGAAATAAACTCTATTTCGAGTATCTTTCACTTGTATTGGTTCTTCTTAAAGTCACATCTGAATTTCACTTAGTACAACTTTGCATAGTGACAGGTTTCAGAATGAGAAACCATGTTGACTGCTTCTAATGACCTTCTTTTCCTTGATATGACTTGAGACAGTGCCAAGGATAAGTTGTTCCATCACCTTTCCAGGGATGGAGGTGAGGCTGATCGATCTGTAGCTACCTGCGTCATCCTTCCTGCCCTTCTTATAGACTGGAGTGATATTTGCTTTCCTCCAGTCCTCAAGAACCTCACCTGTTGCCCACAACTTACAAAGATGATGGAGAGTGGCCTAGCAATGACTCCTGCCAGCTCCCTCAGCACCCGTGGGTGTATCCCATCAGGGCCCGTGGATTTATGGATGTTCACACATATATTAAAAGTCACGATTGTCCAATCTTCTATATAAATCAAGCCATAGCATACGAACTGTTTCTATAATCCCAAATGCCTGAAGCCACATACTGTGTCAATATTTTTTCTGTGAGCTTTCATCTAAGTAGAATTGCGTGTACTTCTAAAGTAACACGGGCACAACAGCTTTAAGTTTGCAGTACATCATTCAAAACTCTACCAGGTTTTTTATTTCTTAAATGAACAGCAGAATCAGTATTTTTATGCTCATTTTGCATCAAAGTACCTTATGTTCCAGCAATAACAAGTGCTCATTCAGCTGATCCTTTAAACAATAAGAAATATTGCACAAACAAAGACTACCGAGATAGGTGTACTGGTTCTGGTTGGGACCAACTTAATTTTCTTCATAGTAGTTTGTATGTGGCTATGGTTTGGATTTGTGTGTTGGTACCATAGGGATGTTTTTGCTATTGCTGAGCAGCGCTCACACAGAGTTGAGCCCTTTTCTGCTCCTCACCCCACAAGGGAGTAGCTGGGAGTGCACATGAAGCTGGGAGGAGGCACAGCCAGGACAGCTGAGCCCGACTGACTTGAGGCATATTCTGCACCATATGACACGATGCTCAGTAACAAAACTGGGGGAGAAGGAAGAAGGGGGCATGTTCAGAGTGATGGCATTTGTCTTCCCAAGTCACCGTTACAGGTGATGAGCCCTACTGTCCTGGAGATGACAAAACACCTGCCTGCCTGTGGGAAGTAGTGAATGAACTCCTTGTTTTGCTTTGGTTGTGTGCTTTTGCTTTGCCTATTAAACTCAACTCATAAGTTTTCTCAATTTTACTCTTTTGATTCTCTTCTCCATGCAAGGGGGGGGGGACATGTGCATGAGTGGCTGAGTGGGGCTTAGCTGCCAGCTGGGTTCAACCACAGCAGTAATTGCACATCTCAAAAGATTGGCAAGGCAGAAGAGATTCAACCTCATATATCATAATGATTCTACAAACTGGATGTCTGGTAAAGGAGACAGGATAATCTTCCTTTAGTCAACCTGAGTGGGAACTTATCAATTACCTTAAGTTCATGCATCGGTACTTTCAGACCAGAAACAGTATCACTAGCGTGCAGATTGGAAGCTGTGCACTTACCAGAGCTGGGTAAGAAGGATATCCACTGCATTTGGCCCATACTACTTTTAGAGGCTCAAGAACAGATGTTGCAGCATCAGTTGAAATCCACATACTGCTATGCCCAACTTCTAAAAACAAATCACAATTAAATACAAGATTAAAACATTAAAGAATGAAACCTCAGACAAAACTTCAGTTTGTTTCCTCATCAATATCTCATGATCATTACAATACCAGTTCCACCTTTCATGCACATACCAATAAAAAGCAGGCAGTGTTTGTAAAACAGCTCTTTAAATTATACCAGTACTTTAATCCAAGCCTACAGATAAAGAACAAGTTTTTATACACTTTTACAATCAGCGTATCTTCACAACCCTTAATTCCCAGAAAGTAACTGTTTGCCAAATCCTTATAATGCTTTTCCTTTGACAAAGGTCCAAAATGCCCACAAAATTATGGCGCTTCAAATAACCTGTTTCTTTTGAAACTACAGTGACAATCAAAGAGGTGATGGTACTGAAGATGTAAGTTGCATGGTTCACTTCCAAAGTGTTGGATATCCATGTTGGATTAGCACCTGACAACTTAATGCCTGTCTGGTATACCTTTCTATTCTTATGCTTGAGTTCTAAACTGCATTTTAATTTCTGTTTATTTACTTATTTATAATCCGCTCTTTTGGTCTCTCTGCCAACCCTTTCCTGCAGTAAAGTTCAAGAAGACCAACAGGGTTCAAGGAAGCAGCTGCAGTAATGTTTTCTCCCTTTTCCAGAGGCAGCCTAACGCTAAATTGAGTTTATGTAACTGTGTACTTCTACCAGAATTCTCCTTTTCTTCTCTGTTGCTCCTCACTGCATTGAAATAAGAGACAGGTTTAAGCCTTTCAGTCAATCAGAACTGCAGTTGGCCCCTCACAAGGATACACACAAGGACATATGGTCAAGAGACTGGGCAGAAGATAGTGAATTATCCCCTCAAGATGGAACTGAGGGTCATGAAAGGTCACAAGCTGTAAAGATGTATCAGGAAACATGGTACCAAAATACAGTTCAGAGGTTGCAGTCGCACTTTTTTTAGCAGTAAGGCAATACTCAATAGAAGTAGCTCTCTACTTGCCAAAACACAATTTATCCCTCAATTATTCCCAGTCTGTTCCAATTTAAAATGGGCAATGTTTATTTATAATGAAATGTGGCATGCAGATACACGTGTTCTCTCAGCATCACAAAAAAGTACTGGTAAAAAGTGGTTTCAGACCTTGTAAGAGTAGAAATAGCAGAGGAAAAAAAAAATTAGTCTATCATTCTCCATAATATATTCTAAGTCAATTTTCAGCTTAATTCACTCAATTGTAATCTATTTTTAATCTAGAATTGTATTGACATTTCAAGAAAATACGTTGTTGGGAAATCTTACTTGAGGAATTCATGATTATGTAGCATCAGTCATTATAATGTAATACTTCACGACTACTTGCCACCACAGCCTAACGAAGATATTAAATGCTTTTTGAAGCCTAAAGTTGGTGTAGGTTTTATTATAGGTATGTGTATCATAGGAGAAAGAGAAACAAATGCAATTTTTCTAGTGTCGTTAAGACCCTGAACAAGTCTCCTAAAGAAAAGAGGGATCTTTACCATCAATCCAAGTCAGCTTTACAGGTGAGATCTTTAATTAGTGAATTCCATTACACAAAACCGCTAAAAAAATTTCTGTTATTTACACTATTTCCTACTGAACACACAACATTAGAAAAAGAGTTACTAAGTCTATGGACAAGTTTATTTGTCTGTTCCTTTCTGTATATTTTGAAAGAGGTCACTCTAGGATATTCTTCACTTTCTAATTAAAAGACATAGCAATATTCTTATGCTTTATAAACACATACACAAGTGTAATACATTCAGGCATTCTTATACTAATAGTAGAGAGAATGCACAAAATACTGGAAAGACATGTTAAATCCAGATTAATCATTCTGGTAGTATCTCAGAAGAAAACAGCAAGAAAGCAAGCAAGAAAGCAAGCAAGAAAGAAAGCAAGAAAGAAAGAAAGAAAGAAAGAAAGGAGGAGGCGGAAACCTACACTATTCTCAGCTGCAGTTATTTTGAAACAAAGAAAATGGTATTTTAACGCTGAGTAGATCATTATACACAATCTGACAGGATGCATGCAGCCAGATTCCCTCAGAGACTTCTCGAGTGTATACAGTGTCTCAGAATTCTTCCTAGTGAAAATTTATTCCATGTGGTGACAGGTGGTTACTATACTAGCCCATATGGTTACCAGTGTTCTTTTACAACATAAAACTCCCTTTATTTCCTCAAGCTATGAGAGACAATAAATTTAAGTTAGCAGTCAGGACAACATACTGCTAAAGATTTTAAATAACAGTGCTCTTCACTAGCTGAAGACTGACAGTACTGAAATACCACAAGCCAGACTTAAAATCCTGCATAGCTTAGGGTAAAAATGTCTCATTATACTTTTCTTCCCCTTACAGATTTTTTCCTTCTTACAGTATTTTTAAAGCAACTGGTGTTCTTTTCAGTCTCATTTTCTTAACAGACTCAATGTGTTTAACTTTCAGTGAGAAGCTGAGCAGAACACCCATTAACTGACAGCATCACAAGCCTCAAAACATTAAGTAACTTTGTCTTCAAAACCAGATCAAAGAACTTCAATTTTTTTTTAAACCAGAAAATTTGCCCACAAACTGGAGAGTCTATTTTGCTGAAAGATGACCAGATTACTAACACATAGTGGTTTTATTTCCTTCTTTAAAAAAATACATGGGGAAATTTTTATTTTAATACCTAAATCTGCAGACAAATCCACTGACACTGGGCATATTCAAGCTCCAAAACTACTGCCATGCAAGAGGTAGCTCTGGGATCTGCAGCGCAGAGAGATCATTCTTTAGCATAAATGATAAATCAAGACTTTTTACTGTGTAACTTTTTGCTGCCAGTGTTACCTTCTGAAGATCATGCAGAAGGGAAAACTATTTGACTCAAAAGCAGCAAAATGCTCCCTTACAAGCTGCTCCCTGCCCACTCTCGCTCACCAAACTGATATGACTGAAGTGAAAGACAGAATTTAGACACTGCTGAAAAAAAATACCATTACCAAGATTTACTCGGGGGAAAAAAAAAACAAACCAACACCACAAACTGACAAGAAGGTGGATCAAAGATGGGGACAAAGAATTGAAAACTGGGACAAAAAGTGTGAGAGAGCCCAGGAAGAAGAGAGCTAGATACACACGTTGGATCAGGGAACAAGGGACAGTGGAGCACAAGGGCTGGGCAAGGCTCAGGAGGGACAGGCAGAGCACGCTGCCACTTCGGCACAGCAACTTCTTGACCCTATATAAAGGAATCCAAGACCTAGAAACTGGTATACAGCAGCTATTAACAAAACCCACTCTTAGCACGTGTCTATTCATCTTCCAGTGCTCATGCACACAAGCTATTACATGCAGATAATTTTATTTGAAAACCCTATTAAGCCTGCAAGTCCAAGCTAGACAGAATTCTAAGTGACTTCCGAAACTTTTGTTCATTTTTTGCACTTTATCTCAATATAATCTTAGTGTTTCAGTATAGAATAACTTTCTCCACAATAGTCTTACCAAGTCCAGTACAGAGTGGACCTGGTTCTAATGCACATCTCAATCTCACAAGCCAAAACTGCTGAACGTGGCAGCAGTTTCACAGAGAACGGCACGACTGAACCTCCACCCTTGGCTTTGTGACTTTGGCAGCACTCTTGTAACATCGACTGAGTCTGGAACAATGTGTTTCAGTGTGTATGTACTACACAATGATTACATTCATTAATCAAAGTAAAACTGCATCCCATCATAACTGCAGGATTGCAACATGCCACACCATAGGTTCTGCGACAGCACCTTGTAAATAGAAACAAGATATTCCTTGGAACTAAAGACAGTGTAACTGCAAGCACTGTGTTTGTTTCTAAAGCATATATACTCTGTGAAACAGAACTGTTTGAGGTATTTTGCCAAGAACGAAGAACCCTTTCCTTAAGCTTCTTTGTAAAATCTGAGATTTTATTAATAAAAATAAATAATGGTAAAGTTCTAGTTACACACAGAACATAAGCAGGAGTTTTCATTTCACTCCAACTTACTTCCTCTTCTTATTTGCTGAAGTAACGGTGCAGAAGGCAGCCAAAAGAGCTCAAATTAGGCAGAATATATAGTATGAATACAAAGTAATGCTGCTAAATGTTAGAAGAGAGACAGAATTAAGAGATCAAGGAGAGTCTTTAAAAAACAGGTATAGGAATTCTAAATGGAAAGTGTTAAGTACAAGACTACCCAGGACAGAACAAGAAAAGCAAAGAGAAGAAGTCAAGTCCTCTCTAAGAGGTTACCACAGAGATAATATATACTAAACCCTGAGAGTAATGAAGCAGTAGGTGGAAGGAGATTAGCTGCATGGAAGAAAAACAAAATTCATCATATGAGGAGGAAAGAACAGACTAAGGCAGAGAGTCAGATAAAAGCACTATAACATCACATACGAGTCCTGGACAAGGAACACCCAGGATGAAGGAGGAAGAGTTCTAAGGTCAGAAGCTAAAGACAGGGCAGCCAGACACTGCCAGACTGATGCCCAACCTCAGCGTGGGAGCCCTGCATTACACAACCACGGTTCTACTTACAGAAGAGATGACCCACCTGCATCTCATAACACAATTAAAATACTGAAACAGGTGGAAAATGTATCCATAGAACAGTTATTTCCCTAAAATTTTGTAACTTACCATCATCTGCATCCCTAGAAATTTCCAGTTCTTTTCAATTTTAAAATTTTTGCTAAATCAGAGCAGACCATGTCTGCTTACCCATCGGTCACACTTATGCAGAACAGTGTATGAGAATTAAAACCTAAACCAGAAGGCTCAACAAAAAGAAGTACTGACAGAACCACAAATAGTACTTCAGGCCAAGTTTTGTTGTATTACTAGAGAAGCTTGATCACTTCAAATACCATTTATTAATCATAAAACCAAAATCATTATTTTCTCTTCGAAGTCCTTAAAGAGTGAATAGCAGAAACCACCAGTTTCTGCAATGCTTATTAACACTACTTTCAGAACGCTTAATGTATTTCAGCAGTAAAAGTAAGAAAGCTAGAATCTCTCGAACAAATGGGTATTATTCTAGTTACACAATATTATTAAGAATAAATTATTTATAGTTACCAGCTGCAATTCTTGCTGCTTTGGCATAGTTTCCATTTTCAATGCATGATATCAACTCACTTCGGTCTTCCAGCGTGTGCCTTCGTATAAGTGCAGGTTTACCTTTACCACACTTTGGCAGGCTGAAACTACAAAAAGCATTAATATTAAAACCATTACTTGATAGTGAACATCATTCAGTATAAATTCAGACTTTGAAGAAGAATTTAAAATTCATCAGTACACATGAAAAGCAGAGCAGTAAGCTCTAACAAATTTCATGTAACAAACACAAACAACAGAGCAAAAGCAAAAAACTCAGATTATAGCCTAGTTATCAGCAAAAGACAAACAGTATGCAACTGCACCTCAACTGCTCTACAGGTTATACATGTACAAATGAGAGAAGCTGCTTTGTCTCCAGTGTCACAGCGGACACAGGCCAAAGAAAATATGTTCCCTCTGCTCCAACAGTTCTGCTACACAAGAAGCAATTACTTTCATTTTTCACTGCAAATTCAAATCCTTTGATTGTGAAATACCTACACACAAAATAGGAAATCCTCTGCATGCTTACTTAAGAGAACATAGAATCTGAACAGCAATTATTCTAAATCAAATCCTCAATAAATCACATTTGCAAGAGATGCAATATTAAACTCTTTTCGTTTCTGAAAGCCTGTTCGACTCAAATGCATTAACATAATTCCCTTAGACAGTTTAATATCAATCTTGAACACAGGAATAAAGTCTTCTTTTTTTTCTCTTAACAGATTTACCCTATACTCCTGTATACACCATCCTCATAGCCCATGACTGGAGACAGCTAACTTTATGCAGAGATCAATGAGCTTTTATAAGATGTGCACCATGGGCGATGAAGAAATACTTATCAATGGTGGCAGAAGTGACCATTCTGGCAGTCCTATCTTTAACGACAGACTTTACAAAGAGAAGGTTAACAGCTGGTATACAGGTACTATCATCACTGTAGTAACCAGCTAGCAATCAAAACCACAGACTGACAACCTACAGTCCCACAGCTACTTGATTTATCTTCCCTGCGTACAAGACTCTGCTCTGGAAATTGCTTCTCTTCTCCCCTCCCCCAGAATGAATACACCCATTTTTAGCATTCAGGATTAGGAAGATAACAAAACCAAGATGCTATATGCCCAAACATGTATATGTATCTATACAGGACATGACAAGCATAGTCAAGTATGTAACTGCCCAGATGTGCTCTAGCTGGGATTCCACAAAAGAATACCAGCAATCCTGAAAGGTGACTCTGATTTGACATGAAACTGAGAAAACTGAAATGTACTCTTTTTTTCCTCAAATTTATGCAGTCTTCCTATGTGGGTCACAAGCAGCATAGAAAACTGGTAATTCAGTCTCAAATTTATATTTCAGATTTACAGTTTTACCTTGAGTTACACAAAAGACTGTTACTAGATGAAATACTGGATTCTGATGCACAGCGGCGACGAGGTTCAACTTTTCTTCCTGGAGTATCGTCTAATGCTCTCTCTTTACTTCCATCTCCAAAACCATTTGACAGACCTACAGCATAACACAAAAATAAACTGCCTCAAACTGGAAACCATACTATCTTCATAACAATATTTTTTATTCACATATTGTATCATTACTGTTCTGTACTTCAAGTACTTTGATGTGATGAGAAAGAAAAACACATGAATATTAACAAAGTATTTCATTTCAAAACACAGTATCACAAATAGGAGGTTCCTGTAGTCCAGATTTTAAAGACAGGATGGAAATTTAGGGAACAGTAAAAAAAAAAAAGGTAAATATTATAATATGGGAAATGTCAAATGGAGTATTGAATCTCTTAGTATGTAATGTTCCAACTATTAAGACAATCAGGCTGCAGAAGCTGGGTAGAAGAAATGAGAAAAAATTAAACAACATTAGAAACAAGGCAGATCTACCAAGTCAACAGAAGACTCATCTGGATACAATGTTACAACCGTAAGTCAAGAAATACTGAAAATCCTTTTCAATCACTGGAAGAGTGGTAGGGATTTCCTTCTGCTGCCAGCTAGTTCCTCACAAAAGTCTTCCCATTTTAGTAAACTCACACTCATGTTATCACATCTGCTTTTTGTGATCAACAATCAATAATATGCACATTACTAGTTTTGACTATCCTTCCCTTGGCGCAAGTTTATACATGCCCAAGGATATTCTATTTTAATTTTATGTTTGTAATGAAAATGTACAACAGGCTCTTACATTCAAGCTACTGATCTGATGGGCTGCCACCAATCCTACTCTGAGTTTGCTAATGCACAAGCAGTATAGCTCTTATCAAGCCATTTCCATATTTGACTAAAGAGACAAATGAAGAGGTTAAAGATAGCACTCTGAAGACCTTCCCAAGGTATATGTGTGTGGTGTGTCAAAATTATGACTAAAAAAAACAAAACCCAAAGAAAGAATCCAACACAGACTTGAAAGTATCAACAGAAAGGAACCGGCTCATGACAACGGCACAAGCCAGCAATCAGCTACTGCAAGCTGTAGGCTGCAAAGAGAACAAAACTGTAACACAAATTCAATTCTGAGCACGCTTATTTCCTTATAATAAATTATAATTTTTACTTAAGGCATGACCAGCATGCTTGCAATAATGCAAGAAAGTGCTACCCACCCCAGCCATCGTATTATCAGTCTTAAAGGTCATCAGGATCTTTGTCTGTTTAGACAGAGTCAAATAAGCTTACATAACTTCATGCTCCTCTCCACAGAGCATTATGCTGTAAGACAATTATTGCAGAACTTGCTTTATTAAGTTCTAAATCTTCCGATCTGTTTGCTACAAAGACCGCTGGCAAAGAAGGCTGACAACTAAAGAGCTTGAGCTTAGCAAGTTACTTTGTATGATCCAGTCATATATCAAGGCATTTACATACAGTGATTTAAGGGATTTCCCCCTCTATCCCCAGAAGACCTTCCGTTTGGATTATAAACACAATTTTAAATTTTTAAGAGAAAAAGGAGAATTTATTCACGGGTGATAAGCATTCTCTTTCATTGTCATTTAGTTGGCACTGTAGAACATTCGTTTAAGAGTGTGTTTTGTAACTCCTGTATTTGCCCTTGATTTCCTATACAAGTGGAAAAAAAACTGTAGCATTGTCTCAAATGTTCAAGCACCAAACTACATGCTACTGGTTTATCTTTTGTCTCGTTCTCAGCAAGTCAGTACAGATGGAGATTAAGAAGGAGCTCAGTCCCACACTATGTCAAAAGACCTGTCAAAACAGAGTGCTTTATAAGAAAGCTTAAATTCCCTTGTAAATTATCGCAGTACACTTCACATAGCATCTGAGATGAAAAGCTGAAGAAACAATCTGGAAAGATAAAAGGAGATCTCTTAGGCCTCTTCAAATAACTACTTTTTATTCTTAGACACCCTTAGACAGACCCATTTTTCAAGTGAGCTGTAGAAACTGTTTTGTTTTCAGCCTGCCACAAGCCAGAGACGTATGACTCAAGTTATCATTCAGGCACCTATCTCATGCAAATCAGCTAACAGCAGAACCAAGTTAGATCACAGATTAAATTTCAAATTTAAAGATAGACCAAGCAATTATTACTACGAGCACAATACAGGTTCCCTATATACTAAAAAAGTAGAAGGAAATACCCGTTTCCTCTTGTAGGAGCATTTATAAAATGTTTAACCACATGTATGCCAAACATGACTTCACTACGTATTTCTATGTACAGCTGTTCCATATGTACATGTACATCTAGGACAAAAAAAACCTCCAAAACAAAACAGGGAGCAGCTTTACATTTTGATTGCTTCTATCAGTTTATGATCATGCTGCCACTAAAATGGACATTTTGGTTCTCTCAGTCCCTTGCGATGGTTTCTTCTCATGGTTACCATGTCAGTACCAAGAAATACATGGTCATGGCAATTCAGTTTTGCGTGATGCACTGGGAAAAGCAACCGTGTTCTTGCCTGATTGCTGATGATGAGAAACAAGGGATGCAGAAGAAACGTGCAAGTATAGGAAAGGAGACTGCTCTCTGCAATGGTAATTCAGTCTTAGACTACATTAAACATAACCTGCGTTATCCTCCAGGGATGGAGGTGGTTGAGTCGCCATCCCTGGATGTGTTTAAGTGTCGTTCAGATGAGGTGCTGGGTGATATGGTTTAGGGGTGAACTTATAGTGTAGGGTTAATGGTTGAACTTGATGATCCCAAGGCTCTTTTCCAACCTGAATTGTTCTATGATTCTATGAGTTTAATGACTCATTTAATTCACTAACGTAGGTTTTGGAGATTACAGCAAGCAAAGTTTTTTCGATCTGTAGAAGGGTTACCAACAGTGGGGAAAAATACAACTTCTCTGACAAACAAGGAATGATGAAGCACAGAAGAGTTTAGAGCTTCTCATAAACATTTCTCTCTTGCTTGTGGAAGTATGAAGAACAAAGAACATGCAGGCTATTAGCAGGAGTAATTTTCCTGAATATCAAGCCCTGAATGACATGCAATCCAGGAGACTCAAGTTTATACAGGCCACTTTTCAGAAATTGTAAGGAACAGGCGTTAAGGAAGGAAGACCTCAACGCTTATTTTAAATAAAATGCACTCATATCTAGTCACAGATGCGGCAGTCCCCAAATGATCTTGTAACTTGCCAGAAAAATCTAGGCAATAAAATCTAAGTGCTTTATGGTATCACAGATATGCAAAAAAATAAACAGATACAATACACTTATAGGCTAGAAATGGGAATTTGGTATTTTTAGTCATTAGAAAACTCTTTCTCCCATGAATCAAGAAAACACCCAATCTCCTGTAACTGCTAGAGTAAGTGAGATTAAAGAAGATCCCCTTTTGCCTTAAGCAATTTGCATTTTATTGGCTCAAAAGATATTGCTAAGAAGGTCAAATAAAGAAAATCCACTGGAGAAGTAATTCATTCTGCTTTTGTAGATTAGTAGCCTGAGTAAGCTTGCAACAAACTTCTATGAGCCATTTCCATTTTCCAAAAGCTCATGATTTTGTTAGATCAGATGAGCTTTCTCTACAGTCCAGGAGAGAAATTTTATTAGGTCAGATACTGAATTTCTTACATACATCCCCTCATCAACATCCCTGATCGGGAACAATCCTCCTCAAGAAAAAATTCCAAACATCAAACTAAAAGATTGCATTAGTGAATGATTCCTTTTCTTCAGTTTCCTTAAAAAAAATGGTCCAGCTCAGAGGTAGAACTCATTTTATTTCTTTTTGTTTGTTTGTTTTAAAAAAGGAATTCACGAATAGTGAAGTCTGCTATCAATCTCAATCTCAGTGTTACTGTAATTTCCAGTCTTCAGCTTGAGACTTCAGTTTTTGGAGGAAGTTTTCTGCCAAGCCCATCATGGCATGTAAAATACAAAACCATTTTAAAAATAAAGAAATGCTACAAAAAAAAATGTAATTAAGAAGAAAATGTAAGTAAGCCAAAGAATATCAGCTTGATACTTTTTCATAGGTTTCTCACAGCCCTAAAAACTCTATTTATCAGGGAAAGTTTTAACTTTTTCTCAAAAGTAGCAGTTTGTTCTTAAACTGCAATTAAAACTTTCCCTTACTGCTTACATCAAAAGCAAGTTAGAATCTTGTTGCCCAGACCAAATTAATGGAAGCAGGAAGATGTAACTCCCGAAAGACAGCAGAAGTTCAGAAAAAATGACAAGGAACAAAACTCAGGACACTTGAAGGAGCAGCATGCTCCACAAATATACAAAATGCTGCCACAGGATACAGAATTGTGCATTTCAGCCTGCAATTGCATCTTGCAGTTCTGCTGAAACAAAAAAAAGGAAGCAGAACTTGTATATAATCATCCTCAAATTATTAAAATTTCAGTATGCATAGCTCAATGCGAAACCAAGCACATCCAAATGTAGGATGAAATGCTGTATTAGCTAGAGCTGAGAAATCAAGAAAAACTGTTAAATAATTTCAGTCACTACAGAAGTGTGAGCATTCAAAAAAAACAACTGCACACAGTGCACCAGCACTTACATAACACTATTTAGGTTCATTTTACCAAGCAAGCACAAGTCCTGACTTGTGCACTTACCCAGCACCTGTGACATTAGTCTTCATGAAAATACATGTTAAAGAAAAATGTGTATTTTATTAAAACTACATAAATGCACAAAAATAGGCAAAACATTTTCTAGATGCTTTACTTCTCTAAGGAAGATTAGGCTGGTTTTTGGGGAAGGGAAGGGGATGGAAATGGAACATTCTTAACTAATATGCTCTCCCAGAGCATACTCTGGGAATAAGAATGCTGGGACTGGTAAAAATCTGCGACCAATTTGTCACATATACTACAACATGTACAACTTTATAACTTACGGAAATGGGGCAATATATTGAATGAAGAGCATATTTTCATTTATGTCAAAGACTTCCTCCAACAGTGTTCATATTTTTTTTTGTTTTAAGGGTGGCTGGTGTCTCCAACATGATCCAAAATAATTACTTCAAATGTAATTGTCTTTCTGCGTTCC